GGCAGTTGGGTCGAGGTAGGAGGCAACAGGTCACTGACAAGAAGGTTGAAGACATACAATGTTAGAAGTAGTGAGATGCTTAGACTTAACTTCTCAGTACATTGAGACGGTAGACAGAAAACAACAAATGTTAGAAGACATACCATAACACAAGGAACAATCAAATTGACAACATAATAAAGAGGCATTCGCTGTATGTTTAGAGTAACAAGAATACTCATGAACGTCTCTTCACCGTGAACACCATTAAAATTTCGCACTATGGAAGTAATAGGTGAAGATACAACGTTCCACTCAAGGTTGGGTATGTATTTCGTCAAATGTACTTCGTCAAATCTAGGAATTAGTGTCAAGAGATCACTCGAGTATGACCAGGACTCAAATTCCATGTGACACTGCTGACTATCCACCGGGAAGTACTTGATATCCATTATACAAGGCGTGTACAGTACACCTGGAACTACTTTCAATATTGATCCATCAGCGTAAAGATTAATCATCAATAAATCGATATGTACCAATGGAAAACCAGGCATCTCGTTATCATTGCTGTTAAGAGAGATATATGCAACATGTTGATAGTGAGGTAGAATATTTTGAAGGATAGTTTGCAACTTAAACTATCATGTTATTTAAACGAGACAGAATTGATATATTAAATTAGGCAGTGACAATTCGTTCTATTCTTCTCCTGTAAATGAGTGTGTACATCTGTAGGTAGGTGATCATATCATATTTTGAGAATGTTCAAGCTGCCACATTTACAAACGCTATGTGAAATTTCAAATCAATTCATGATGAAAAACTGTTTGGCGATGCGTGTTAGGGGAATATTTAACATGGAAATTAATCTATCACATTCCTAGCTAGTATACAAAAACATTATTACTCTATGAAAGTCTTTGAAGCGAACATATCACAATTTGAACCCACGTAAACATCCTAAACTTGAATGCCGATGCGAAGTACTATACCTTGTGAGCAGGGCTGTATCCGGTGTCCACACATACTCAGCTGGAACAGGAAGCGAGTTCAGACCCTCAAAATCAGTTGGATTCCAAAACAGCCTCCAATCTTTCCAAGTCTAAATATATACAGGATATCTTACAAGTGAACCTACAATATTAGACTTATTAAACTAGTGTAGTATTTTACATACGAGAAATAAACGTCAATTACTACACTCGTTTATTAAATCTTATATTGCAGGTTTTACATTGGTACAAGCAAATACATATAACTACTGGCTACATTGCATGTATCTCAAAGATTACCGCCCACTCTGCCACCCCCTTCCTTCGCCACTGATCCCTTCAATAACTACATCCTCTCTCGTATTATCTTATTTTTTTACTATCACCTTCCCTTACAATATCTTACTACCACCCTTCCCTACAATGTCTAACTACCACCCTCTCTTACAATATCTTACTACCACCCTCTCTTACAATATCTTACTACCACCCTCTCTTACAATATCTTACTACCACCCTCTCTTACAATATCTTAGCAACCAACCTTATTGTCACGGCGTCTCGGAGTAGGCTCAAATATTATCATAATATTCAATAATTTTACCACCTCATGCACGGGTTGTTAACCAGTTAAATATTACACCATTCGTGTAACATAATGGTAATTTAAACTGAAGGACACTAACATTGTTCAATGCAATTATATGCATATATAAATAGAGAGAGAAATACACAATCTTACACATACACTGAAACCATAGTTTATTCGAAAATCTAACTTAGCAACACATGCTTCCCTTTCACTTGGCTTTGACGTTAAACACCGGGTTTGTCTGGGGTAGTACGGGGACTCGCTCACTGTATTTCAGGTCCGCTCAAAGCATGGGCGCCCCTCGTCAATCAAAATATTGAGTAGAATCACCGTGGAAACACGGGGTTGAACCTAATTACCACCGATGACGTCAGACAGTATATTGTGTCAGTTATTAATTCGTTCACAACACCAGTATATTCACCACCCGAACACTCACCCAATTAATGGGAAGTCCAGTATACCATTAGAGGCAACAACTGGGGCCACGTAGGACGATATGGATGTGGTGTTAAATGAACTGTGGCCTATAAATACGACTTATAAATGTGGCCTCTTATCAGTTTATGATGTGATGATGAATCTTACATGCAACACGTAATTTGTTATAAGGAATTAATATTTATATGGTGTTCACTCAAAGTTCAAAGTTAACTTTCAAATTGTTAACAATTGTTGAAGCATATGGTAATAATTCTGACACTCATCCAAACACTTATGGTGTACCCCACAAATCTATACTAGCACCTGTTCTTTTCCTGAATATTATATCAATGACATTCCTTCTTCTTTCCAATTCTTAAATCCTTTTCCCAAATAAAATCGTTCGTACTCGTGACATGGAAGCTAATCTCAGAGGTTTAAGTAATTGGTTCATTGCTAACAAACTCACAATTATTAATGAATAAAACACTATATAATGTTTTCTTCAACCCACACAAAACTGACCAATAATCCGCGCTTACACTTCAATGATAATATAATGAAAGAAGTAGGTTTCACTACATATCTAGGTTAAACTATTGATAAGTAATTCTCCTGGAAAACCCCACGTTAAATATTACTCCAATTATTGACCTAGTTGCTAAAATACGGAACTATTTCCTTAAATCTACATTCCTATATAATCCACTAATAATTCACTCACATATTTCATACAGTTTCGTGGCGCCATCTCTGGACATAGGTCAGCACCTATTACACCGCTCTCATTCCTCTGTATATACAACAAAACAAGCTGGTTTGCATAACCAATGTCAATGACAGATTGGCTCACAGTAAGCAACTATTCAACTCACTCTGCATTCTCAGGCCCAATAAAACTAGAAGTGCGTGTTTGACGCCTGGTGTCCACGGCGTACAATCTGCATTGCGACCCAAGTAACGCTGTTAATTATCCACAGACCAAATAAAGCATGCTGTTCAACAATGGTGATTGGAAAATGCGTGACATAGCTTTAGTGAGATGTAGCTGGAGACATGATATATCATACTGTACTCTCCAAAACAAAATTTTTGCTGAATTACTTTATATTCCCAATCCCAAACAATTTACCTCACTGCTATACACCCTGTCAATTGAATGACATGACATAACTAAGCATTATGTAAATTATGTGCATTATATATATTGCAGAACATACCTGATACATCCAAACATTTGTTGATATCATTTGGGACTTCTCGTCCTGTAATGTGAAGTACACAACACAGTTATTTGTTTAAATAAAGTGTAGGACAATAATTAACGTATGACTAGTCAACTTTTTTCTTTCCCTCTGTTATCGAGTAACACTCAATAATGAGTTACTTGCACACATCATGATGGAGCATACAAAGTCTGATTAACGTTTATAACAACAGTTTAGCCATTCGATTACTAACCACATCAATCAGTTGTGTTAACTCCAACCAGAACTTCACTTCCACTGTATCACTGAAATTACGGACTGGCCTTGTCAAGGAGTTGTATTCACTAGTAAATAAATAATCTAACAAACGGTCTTCGCCTGATAATAACTTGTTTTCTAAAAAACAACAATAACATCACATAAATTAAGGATATGCTAGTGAATTGTACACGTCTCGCGATTTGCGATATTACAAAATCACAAGACAAACTAACCTTTCTAGAAAAATGCAAATTAGTGAGAAAAAGAATTGATTTGTGTTCATCTCACATATTTTGCACTGCTTTCACTTATTTACAAAGCGTGTAATACTTGCGTTTAACGTTTTTCATATGTGACAAGAAAGTTAGATGGCATCACTTATGAAGTGTACTTAACCCTTCTACAACAGTATATAATTTTACCCATCAATTTTGATGGTGAATAAATATGACTTCCTCTCTGTAATTAAACACGTCTGTCAGACTAAATATGTCTGCCTTGGCACAGGAATGTGTTACGAAACTGAACATATACAGTTAGTATAAAATGAGGCGATCTAATTACAATTAAACGTTGTGACACAACATGAAACATATAAACTCATTAACAATTATTTCAACTCATTAAATTGTCCAATTTACACACAACGTCTCGAATCACGCTTGTACTTTCCTACATCATCTGTGTTCCCTCCAATACGGACATTACATTACGAGTACAGTGATATGAGACAGAACTATGCTATTTCAAACAATGTCAATATTAACGCATGTTCTTACCTATAAGACCAGAAGAGTTCGATTGGCAGTGCCCCATTGTCATCGTAAGTATTAACACTCCGACGGGAATATGTCGAATTTCAAGAAACATCGTAATCGACTTATATGAGACACTCTCATGCATGCATTCACTGAAGGCGACTGACTATATTTTGAGGCGTCGTCACGGTGTTTGTCAGCGATTCAAATTTCAACCCATGTGGAGTGAAAGAAACATTATGAGAACATCAATTATTGTTGATGCCACTTAATATTCAAAAACGCAATACGGTTGTATATAGCAGTTTGTATTAGGCAGTGATGTTCTTAAGGTTTGTTTTAAACTGAGATTAAATTCATAAAAGTGAGTGTCTCTTATGCTAGAAACATAAATTGATATAACCAAAGACACACAGTACTTGGGTGACTTACTGTTAAGTGTCTGAGAAATGACCACTAACAGATTTATGTTTTGGTTCTTCTTGTGGTTCTGTTAAAATAGTGTCTGTAAAGTTTATTTTAGATTTTTAAACGACGAGAAAACTATGTAAAAGTGTCTGCGTCATTGTCATGCTGTGAAATTATCAAGGACTACTTAGGGAAGAAGACATGTTGCCTGCTACTGCGTCATAACAAGGCAGGGTATAATAATGAGGGCGATGTAGTCTACATTCCCGTTCGTGTCATCTCATTTAAACAGTAATGACTTTTCCATACGACGCTGTTACAGTAGGAGAGCCATTTTTAGAAGACACCACCATTAAAATAAAAAAAATGGTTTCTCATAACATTGACCCTCACTTCCCAGTATTATCGCATATCTGGACAGCACGTGGTACTGGTCGACTAATCCTCACAACGAAAACCATTATAATTATATGCAGCCGATGAGACTCCGTGTGAAATAAATAAATAAATGATTGTAGACAGTAGTTATATTTATGTTTATATATTTATTTTGTGTTCTGATATACATTATTCAAGTACTAATAAGCGTACTAGACGCGTTATTTATTTATTTTTGAAATATATACATATAGTGTACACTGAGGGAAGTGATCAAATAAAACCAGCGGTTTCCGGCCCGGTATCCGAGGAGCTGCTTTGTCCACCGGGAACTCCCTGGAGCTCCGCGCAATATGCAAATTTATGCAAAAATGTTCATGAGCTGACACAGTGTCGGTGGAACAGGGGGGGGGGCACGCCCCCTCAATTCAAACTGAAACCCTTTGTGTCAGCAAAATTTGCCCCTCAAAATGCAGGAAATAGCGTTTCAGAGAGTAAAGATTTCAACATTTTTAATGGTGAGAACGCATGAAAAATAGAAAAACTTAAATAAAAAAATGAACGCTCGTACGTTTGTACATTTTAAAGACATCGTAGTTTATAGGTTTCTGCTGTCATATTTTTTAATGTCATCTAAATAGCGTGTTTGCTTATTTATCGAAGCGTCGATTTCATAAAATTGCTGGCCGTAATTACTTTCTGTCACGTTGCTTTGACGCTGTGAACATCCATCGTCCGCTTGCACGGTGTTGTTCCGTTCGGACATTCCTCCTACTACAACCTCGTGTGGTAACTCTATTCTTAACACAAGGCCAACAGTCCTTGACAAATCAGAGTCGCGGTAACGTGTGATTCTATTTCACCACGAATTCACTTAGATCACGACTGAAAAAACGCAAGAAAACAAAGGATTTTCATTGCAACAATTTATTTATAACACCAAGATGAGATACAAAGTATCCTTTGAGTTACGTAAGATTCAACTGACACTACTGACAGCCATGTTGCAACATTTTGACAAAATGTAACATAATGTACTAAAATGTTATTTCACAAGTTTGATTGCTGTCAAAATGTCATCATTTGATTGGCTAATACAAATCTTTTCTCGGCCTGATTGGCCAGTGAGTGCTAAGTCGGTTAGATCACGTCCCTCAGTGACTAGGAGAATTAGAACTCGGGCCTCATTCAAATTCTCATAGTCACCTCGGATCGTGATCTAACCTATACAAAACCTTGTATGTCATGTGGTTCCGCGATAGAAAGTTTACCGACAAATAGAAAGCTTTGTTACAATGACTGCCAAAAAGCGCTTGGCGCTTGTTCGCCTATATGTGTTGCAGTGACATCATGTGCTTTGAGGTTTAACACCTACTCTTCTATAATACTCGACAGTGGAGACAACACTGTTACCACGCTCATTTATTTTCGGAGCGGGCATTTACATCGCCTGGCAACCATGATGATGAAAACAAAGAACAAAAACTCTCAGAAAATGATACTTTGGGATGGTTGTTGACACCCACTAAGAAGTGTAACAAAATTACCCCAACATATGCAACATATTTCAATTTGGTTGTTTAGGATTACTTCGCGCACAGCCCATAGAAATACATGGTAGTGTGGTGCGCGTCTTTAAGTAGCAACGTAGAGCGTCTTGTGACTTAGCTCCGCCCCGAGGATTTTGATAGCTTGGCCAAGCGTGTTGATGAAAAAAGCAATATGATTGGCTGTTGGTAAACAAATTCTAAACTGAGAGAACATAATCACATACACATAGTCCTAATGAAATACTTCAAGATGATAGTTGAGTGCTTTGCCTGAACATTCTCCTTGAGCATTCAAGCTGTAAACACCGGACGACTTGCCTTATAACTAGCACTGATTTTAAAACGGGGAGTCGTCACCTGCGCATGCGTCAGATGGCCATAGTGTGTCATTGTTTACAAACAAGCGTCTACCCATGAGCCTTTGCGTTTCCAACGCCACCAATTTTATTGTAGGTTCAATGCATTTCAGTTCGTACTCTTCACCTGGTTTCCAACGTACAAATAATCTTGCACGGCTACGAAACACCGTAAACTTGGATTTGTCCGACAAGACAACTTGAGCCCACTGCGCCCGAGTCTAGTCGATGTGTTTGGCAAATTGCAACCGCGCTGCGATGTGTCGAGGTTGTAGTTTTGTATTCTTTTTAGCAACACAGTCTCGAAGATTACCATCCTTATATAGTCTTGATTTTATTGTGCTCAAACTTAATCTTTTCCCAGTGAGTTGATTAAAATTGGCACGCAAATCACGGGTGGTGTGAAACCGATTCGCTAAACTAGACCTAATGAGTAGCCGGTCTTCGCGTTGTGTTGTACGCCTTGGTCGACATGATCGACGACGATTGCCCATACTACCTCGCGGAAGTTTCCGCAGGTTAAAACGTATGGAGCCTTCAGAAATTCCCAGTCTTCTTGCAATGTTCCCTTTGATAAATTCTGACAATTCCTTAACTTTCGGCATGGCTCAATGTTTGTAAATAAAAATTACGTATCTGATACTATGACCTCGATAGGAATATTCATGAACTACAACTGACAGGTATTCCCGCCCAGAAGCGCGTGTTGAAATAATTTCAGCTTCCCAGGTTCAAATTTGCATGAGAAAGGACACGACTCTCGCACATGTTTCATGGCGCGAAATTTTGATGAGATGCAAATGATATGGAAATTAGCTAGCTCCCATAGAGTTAACCGTGGGGATTTTTGCACACTGAAAAAACGTCTTCATACAAAAAACTAAACCCAAATCAACAATTGTATTTTGACTAAAATGCACTAGTTCTTCTTTAATTTAGTATATTTTAAAGACAACACATAATATTACCCGGAATTGTTATTTTTAATTACGAAAACGATCAAATGACAGATGCGTAAATACTTTCTGGCAGGTCTGTATATCCTGAACGTTTAACGCAGCAGTGAAGAATAGTTCAAGTAATTATTCTCTCCATAGCAACTGGTTTCATATCTCTCCTAAAATAATAAACACTTATGTCTGGCGCCCTCCAGCAAATTAAATAAACTCGTCACTCACGTTTTGATTTATCTTGCAATGAATTTTCATTGAACATATTTTTGCTTCCATGGCAACCAGATCCACATTACTGCCACTATCTAAATTTCACAAGAATCTATTCATAACTTTTTAGCGACAGGCAAACAAAAAAGCATGGCGATGGTAAAATGGTAATTATCCATTTACGTGATTTGAGGAAGTATAATTGCGGCTCCAGCGATGTTGATAATGGCAAAGGTTATGAGCAGAATTCTGTCGATAACTGCTGCCAATCTCAGCCAATCTTTGTGAATCTAAAACACAAACATATTGGTAACATCAATGATAATTTATTGTTATTAAACATTTTCTACTGCAGCCTCATGAGTTTCAGAATACAGTATTTTATATAATAACTATTCAATTTAGAAAGCATGCACCATTAAAACGTTATTGAATTTCATTTGACCGCTCGACCTTAACAGCTGACCAACTTAAACTAATCAACAACTACTCTTTTATCATTATCTTTTGGAAACAAATTTTCGTATATTCTAACTAACTGGCTACATCACGCAACTTCGTATAAGCGAGGAGATTTCTGCTCGGCTATTCTCTGATGCAAATTTTAATACTTGACTGAAAGTTTCTGGCAGCAAACACTGAAAGTAATAGATTAGGTCAATTTTCCACGCAACAGTCAGTTAAAATATTAAGAAAATAGTGTGTTTGTCAACGCACGTAGTTCATGTTGACATTGTTCCCGACGCTACGCTACGATTTAGTCGATCGAAACATAATGTTTGAATCCTTTATAGTATCATTAAATATTGCTTGTGCACATCTCCGTCTATCTTAATCACGGCCAGTGTGTCATTCTTAATTGCAAAATCTATTTATGATGTTTAAGATCTGACGTATCATAGTATAATATGTAAAATTATAATCGCCACTAAATATTAGGGGAGAAGTATTTTAAATCATTGAGGGTGACTAGAAGGGTGTGACCAGCGCCAATTCTGCATTAATATAATGGAAGAGTGATCGTGGAATCGAATTACGTTATTCTTTATTTGACATTCGCACAATGTTACTTAAACAAAATAATCGCAGATATAATATCTTACCTGATTATTATATTTTGAAGGTACGAAGCGATTTACTATTTTGTCGAGTGTCACCAGCAGTCGCTCCATCATCAGTTCGATCTTCTGACAAGAACTCTGGGAATGG